AGGGGCGATAGGGAAGAGGTAATGAAACGGTAAAGGTTACCCTAAACAATTCTTACAAATCTGACAGAATAAAGCAAAAGTGTAACCAACATTAAACAAAATTTTTAAGGTACAACAGAAGACTTTTTTTATGTGAGTGCATCTAACTTCCAGTTGTGACTGAAGTCCTGCTGAAGTCTGGAAGATGGTGATGTTTTTGTCCTTTCGTTAATAACTTTTCCTCCCATAAAATGATGCCTCAGTGGAAGCTTAGGTGAAACTTATACACATGCTTTTACTTACTGCAGCTACTCTGTATGGCAATTATAGATCATTTGATCTTTAAAGACTCTTCAAGCTATTCAGTTAGTAGAAAAATGAAATAATTTATTTTATGAGGTTGTCTGTTGGACCTAGAAATCATCCAGTCCAGCCTCCTGTTCAAAGCAAGGCAAATTTTAGAGTCAGAGCAGATTATTCAGGATTTTGTCCCATTCAGTTTTAAAGATCTACAAGGGAGCAGATTTTATGGCCTTCTCAGGCAACTTAGTATGTCCTTAACTGCTCTCTTTGTAGAATTTTTTTATACAAGTCTGTACTTTTCTGTGCTGTACCTTGTGACTTCTGCTTCTTGGCTTTTTGTAATGCACTTTGAAGGAGTCTGTGTGTTTTCTGCAACTCTTCTCCTGATGTAACTTTAGGGAAATGGGATTGGGAATGTACAAAAGCCTAAGCATCAGCCTGACTCAATACTTTATGAACATTGAGATACTATTGGGAAGCGTTATGCTTACTTGTTTAATTCTATTAAATATTTTATGGAGTGTATTAACAAGAGAAATGGGCAAAGTAACGTACTACTGAGAAAGACTGCAGCATTGAACTAAGACCTGTTGTAAGGAAATCCCTGAATACATCTTTTTGCCTGGGTCTGTCATGTGGAAAGTGTGGAAATGATGAATTTTTTTTTATAGAAGGGTTTACCAACATGTAAGCTTAATGCTCACATTTTCAGGAGTGGGTGGTAAAAAAGAAGCTGAAGCAAAGGACATAATTGAGGTTTCAGAAGAATTTATGATACTGTGAGACACAAAAGATAAGTTTACAAAATCAGCTAAGAAAAGACCACTGGAATGGATTACACCAAGATATGAAGCGCAAAGGATAACAGTTCAACATGGAGAGGGATAAGCTGTTTCTTAGGTCACTGTTTTTTATTACTGTCTATAATAAAAGAAAACAAAAAAGGTGCAGTTTCTTGATTTTATTATAAATTACAGAAGAGTTAGTAAGTGTAATGAACAGCCATAATATTACAGGATAATTTGGGAAGATTTATGCATCAATAAAACATAATGGATGTAATAAAGGCAGAAAATGTGCATTTTAATATCTGGAGGGCTTCAGCCTCTGTTGAAGGCAAATGTTCTTTTGCAGAGAAATATAGCTAACCCTGAATTATCTGAATATTTTTCTAGTGTTTTACAGCAGCAGTTTATGATGTCTAAATACATGTGAATATTTAAGTGACTGATAGCAGTGTAACACTTCACTTGAATTTTGTACTATTTATTTCAAGGAAATCATATTCCAAAATCTTTAAGACAGCAGAATCATTTGAGCGTTAATTGAGCTACATGCTCGTCTCTGAAGCAAGATGTTCATGTTATCAGTGTCACAAGCTGGTAGTACTTGAAGAGACATCCAGAATGTATGGAGATTTTACTAAGAAGCTAGGGATATAATGGCCTAACAATTCTAGACCTGTGCTTAAGATAGAAAGAATAAAAGAAAGTAGTGGGTTGTAACTTCCTCCTTCCCTTTTTCTCCCCAGAAATACATGTCTGTTAGTTCCCCTATATGAGAAGCCTATAGTAACACCAAGGGAAGGCACAAAGTGGATAGAAGGTTATTTACTGCTGAAAATAATAGTAACTGCTCCATTGAATGGGCTTTAATGATGACTTCGCTGTAGTCTTCAAATCCTGAATGATATTTCATTGTGCTGCCTCTAGAATAAAATACCAGTCCGTTCACTAGGGTGTGGATCACTCATGTTTTTTGAGCCACAGTGGCTCCTGGCTAAACTGAAAATAACCTTCTAAAACTTGGTGAAGTGTTAAGAGTAACAAGATGGAAGCTGTGTTTATTCCTCATGACCTGCACTGCTCCCAGCATGATGCTGTATGTACCTCACCCGGAATTAATTCCTCAGCTACCCCTGTTGTCTTCAGAGGAGGATGAGGCTGGTGCCTGATCTCAAGACAGTTGTCCACGTGGCTCTTTTCTTCTCCAATAAGGATTGTGGCCTATTTGCATTTAAGAGGCTCAGCAGGGACAGAGGAGAAGTAGCTTTAGTCTTTTGCTGATTTTGTGATCAGAGGGAGTGCTGTTGGTGTACCCTAACTCCTTCTCTTGGTTATGTCACGTGTGCCTCTGACAACAAGTCAGATCAAACTTATTGACACTTTTTCACTAGGGTTCTTATAATTTAATCCACTTTCTGAAATATGATTGCAAGACAAAAATGAGAAATTTAGTCCCAGCAACACAGATATCTGTTCAGCCTTCTATCCTCAGAGAGTAACTGATGTTCACGTTTTCTGTAGGCAGGTATAGGAACTGTTCAGATGCTGTTTGCTGATTGTGTCCTGTGAGCAGTAATCCCAACCCTTTCCTTGGTTGCTTCTTTTGGTAGAAACCTAATTGTTCTGTTTCCAGATTTTAATTTAATTTTTCACTAGCAAGGCTTTCTTTCTCTCTTTCCTTGTACAGTCCCCCAAACTATTGTGTTATTTGCAGTGGACAGCTTTCTTTCCCTCATCTGAAGCCTGGCTGCTCTGTGGTGCTGCATATGATAATGCAAGAATCTAACTGAGGGTATTTAGGAAAGAAAACTAATTAGAGGTGCTTATCAGTTGAAGATTAAGGTTAAAAATAAGTCTAGCAGCAGATGACAGACTTTTTTTCTAATATACAGGAGCAGTTGTTAGTTGTTTTGGCTTTTTTTTAATGAAATACTCATTCTGACTTCTGTGAATATTTTAAAAAGTATATTTTGGGAATCTCATTTTGTATCCAAACCATAAAGAAAACAAGTTCTTTAACACTTCTTGGAGTATAATTAAAAACCATGATTTCCAAACTTAAGTTGCATTGCTTGGTTTTACTCTCAGAAAGCCAAGCAGACACTGTACAGAATGTGTCCTAATGGGCCATCAGATCATGTAACTGTTATGTTAGCATAAGTTCATCTGAGTGGGAGATTAAGTGAGACATTGAACTGTAAAATATAAATTAAAATGCAGTTGAATAACTCTGTATTTTTTAATGCAACTTTCAATAGCATCATAATTTTTAGGGTAAATTGATACTTTTTTTAGGCTATGATTTGAGACCCCATCTCGATCTCTGTTCTCCTTAATCCTACAACTATACATATATTTTATTATTTTAAAAAATGATAGAGAAATCAAATATGAAGATCTGGGGAATGTAAAGCTACACAGATTGGCATTTCCAAAATATTTTTCATTTTCATTGTTTTATCTAAATAATATATCCTCTTTACAAATCTTTTAATGTCTGCTGCACATCTGCTGCTCTAATTTTCCTGTGCTTTTCTAGCTGCTGTGTTGCTAGAAGCTGCTCAAGTAGATGGAAAGGTTACAGTGCACTCAATGGGAGAAATGTCTCAGTGAAGTGAGAAAAGCAGTAGAAAATAAATTGTATGAGGCCCTGAAAAAAAGTAAAAATTAATAGTTGAGCTGTTGAAGTAATGTCTTCAATATGAATTTGTATGCAAGAAGCTTATCTTTAACTGCATTTGTTCATTTTTAATGAAGGTTAGCCCTTCATGATAATGTATTCTAACACCCTTAACAGGCCTGAGTTAGTGTTTACAAATCTTGATTTTTCTGAATTGACAATATAAAAAATACTCACTAAAATATTAATAATAAAATGTGTCATGCGTGATGAACAGCCTGTATTCTAGTGTAAACATTTTTTTAAAGCAGTTGTTTCCAAACAACAAAAATCAAATAGATTATTCATGCCACGCAGGGCATCACTGCAATTCAGTGTTACCTCAGTTTACATTTTTCTGACAGATAACAGAGTTTCCAGAACTGTGCGAGCTACAGAGATTACAGTATTGTGAAATGATGTCAGCCTTTTTAGGATATTTACTGCAGTTATTTGGCATTTTCTTTAATAAGAAATTCCTCTGTTGCTTTAATCTTCAAATTTCCTGTCTTGTGTCCTTCTGAGTCCTTTTGCTTTATTATGGAAAACTTTATTTTGAGGTTTGAAACTGGGAATATAAAGGTGTTTCAGTCACTAAAAATAAAAATTCAGTAACTTAATGCTCACGTCCACTGTGTTTCTTATGCTGTGTCATCATTTAAACCTTGCCAACTTCAAATATATGATACAGGGGTGATTTGGAGGACCTGCCAAAAATGCAACAACTGTGTAAAGAGAGGCTAAATACCTGTAGAAGTTTAAATTGTCTAAGAAACACATTTTCAAGCACGAAAGATTTTCAAATTGGAATTGCAGTGCTTATGTGTAGCTAGAGCTACTAATTACCAGAATAACTATCACAGTTCTCAAAAGCGTTGCTGTAATGGAACTTGGGATTGTGTTTGGTGAGAACTACTACCTCCTGCATATGGCTGTATTCACCTCAGTGAACTTCATCCAGTTAAAAATTGATTTTTATGGCTGGAGGCCTATCAAGCAACTCTGCCCTTCCCACTGACTGTGGAAAGATGAATTAAGCATTACAGGCTGTTCCCTCTGGAGTCTCTCTGGGCTGGTCTACAACTTGAAGGTTTTGTTGGCAATTTACTGGGCAATTAAAATTCTCAGGAAGTACTTCAAAGGAAAATGGATGTTTGGCTGGCAGGAATGGATGTTTTCCAGCCAGAGAAAAGAGAAAAATGTTGCAAGGAAGATTTAAACCCTGTAGGTCTTTTATAAATAACCTATCACTGACTATCATCTCTTCCTACTAGTTTCAGTTTGTCTGGACAAGTTTCTACAATCCTCTATGTGATATGGAGGCTTTTAGGCCACGCAGGTTTTGAAGGTATTGAAGCTCCTTCACATCTAGAACAGCAGACTGCAGAAAGGTAGCATGCTTCTACCCACTAATGTCTTTCAAGCAGTTGTAAGAGATAGAGCTCTATCTTGAGTGGTGATCTGGAATAACATAGAGCAACCATTCTTCCAAATTAGTGGCATACTTAAAGGACAGTATTAGTTGCCTTGGACTGTTTGCAGAGTCCAGGGGAATCAGACAACTTCAGTTCATGCAAAGTAAATGGGTTAAGTTTCTTAGAATATAGTTTAAATCCCCCCCCCCCCCCGTTTTTCTCCATGTCTTATTGATTCAGCAGCACAGGATTTGCTGTTGAAAGAGTAAAGATCTTTAGGACCTTTTCCAGAACAGTGAGATGTTTGAGGAATGTGAAAAAATAAAGCATTTTGGATGCAGCACTTTGGGTCTTTGGTTAGTGAAATGTTCATGAATTTAGTTAGTCGATACACTGGGAAGGCACAAAATTTTCCTTCAGCCTGCAGATGTTAAAAGTGGTTGTGGGATTTAATGGGAACCATAAAAGAGTTATTTTTCTATGTTAACAATAGAGTCTTGTTTCTTTACTTATGCAGTTCCCCCAAAATGGTATCTGGTCTGAGATGTGGCTGTGATTCTCAACATTTTCACATGTATGCTGCTATCAGTTTTTAACTTACTTTATAAGTAAGGTTTTTAAGCTGAAGCTTTTGTAAAATTAATTTGCTCACTACAAAAGTATGCTTTGTTTACTCAGTTGAAAGTTAACACAATTTCAGAAAAGCTGATGGGGCATTTTGTTTGACTCACTTTTTGGCAATGGTGGAGTAAAGTGATTAGTAACTCATTCCTAAACCATAAGGAAGCTGGATCCACACCTGTTCTTTTTCAAACCAAAGTAGTCCTTTCAAGCGTTTGACACTTGTTCACTGGTATCCCAAAAGTAAGTTATGAAAAGGATTTTGCGAGCTTGATTCTTCAGACTGCTGTCGAGTACCTGTAGGAAGCTGCAGGAGTACTGGCTAGCAGAAAGTAAAACCGGGAAGGGTGTTTGATCCATAAGTTCTATTTAAACTATCATATTAAAGGCTTACTAACTGTGTTATACTGACTGAAGCAATCATAGAATCATAGAATGGTTGGGGTTGGAAAAGATCATCTAGTTCATCACCACCCTTGGGTTTTCCCAGTATTACTGTCAGCATTTAGATAATGCCTTTTGAAACTGAATTGAGGCCCATTTATTAATTTAAAGCTGTATCTTTGGAGGAGCTGGTGAAGTTGAAGAGGATTTAATTAATTACGTTTTGATACAAAAAGCTTTACTTTAGAATTTAAAAGGGGAAAAGCCACAAAAAACCTCCATTAAACCTCTGAATGTTTATTGTGCCATATCAAACTGAATAAAGATATTTTTCATTGAAGTAACTGTTTTACTTAATGGTCCAAGGAGGATCCTTAGTTTTATTCTTCTCACAGGCATGCTATAGCAGAGTCTGCTCTTTACCAAGTGGTTCTTAGCACTCCTAAGGATCAGAAATAGCTTCCACGAAACAGCAACTAGCACATCAGAGTGTTGGATTCCTATTAGAGGGCAGCCTTACACAGGAAGATGCCTAGATTTTGGAAGATGGTGTACTGCTATTACTTGTTTGCTGTATATACTCCATAGGAACAGTTATATTTTCTTATTATGCAATGGCCCAACTTCAGAGTCATACAAACTCCTGAGAGTCTCGTGATTATGGCCCTTTGCTCGCATAGACCTGAACTGGAAAAAAACCCTAGCATACAGTTTTCTTCCCACTCCATAGTTGTATTGTCACACTACTGTGCAAAGCATTGCTGCATCCTTCTTCCATGCTCAAAGTCACAGCACGGTCTCATGACTGCACACAGGATTTCAGCTCTGCTTTCTGATTCATACTGATGTAACAGTACTCTGAGCTCTCAGAAAAGAATTTTTTCAGTAGTTTTTGTTGGCTGTGATAAGCATTTCCTCACAGAGATTGCTAGTTGTGAATACTGTGCACAAACATCTGTCTCTTGTGTTAAATGTAATTGGGAATGTAGATGCCCAGACCAGCAGTGTGAATTCTCTGGAGCTAAGTGCTCATGTCCTTACAGCTTTCAGTGCTGGGAAGCCTGTGTCTGTTGTTTTTGGTTTTGGTCCAAGGTGTTCAAGTAGGCTCTTGTGGCTCGGGCGCCTAGTATTTGATATTCTCAAGTTGTTCATTGTCAAGCTATTGAATGTCCATACATTGCATAGCATCCAGTGATGAATGACCTAACCAGTCAAGAACAAGTTTTTCTTTCCTGGAAAGATACAAATAAAAAATCCTACAAACACTGAGTTGCAGATTGTAACAAATGTTCCTGCATCCATGATTCTTCTTGCAGCTGCTGCACCTCATCTCTTCATACAAAGCCCCAGCTTTTCTTCTACACCTGCTGTTCCGCGGAGGTCTCTGCTGTAGGCTGTACATCTTGCCTCAGGGCTGCAGGGAACATTCAAGATGCGATATTGTACAGAGGAGTGAGCATAGGAGAGAAAGGTTACAGAGAACACAGGCTTAGGATACAGACAGGCTGTCAGGGCCGTAGGTGGTATGGGCATTTGTACTTTGACAGATGTCAGCACTTGTATCTGTCATGCATACAGTTACCTTCCATGTCTGTTTAGTATAATAACTGCCTGTGACATGTTGTGTCTGGCAGTAGCTTCTTTGTGGAGCCTGAGGTATGGTTTGCACAGCAGCTTTGCCCTTGGGCACTCTGTTGCACTCTGCTTTCTTCTCACAGACCTCAGGAAGGCAGATTACTTGACCTGTACTTTTCTCCTGAATTTAGAGCACATTAGTACAGTGTAACCTCCACTTTGTTTCTAGGAGACACCCACTGTGTACCAGGGTGTGTAGCTCCTTTGGAGCTTGTTCTCAACCAGATAATAACCTTATTTGAGAAACCTCCTTGGATGCAATGATGTCTAATTGAACTTAGCAGCAGAATTCCTATTGACATTATTAAGTTAGGTCATAATTCATTATCCGTGGGTGTCTGTGATATGATTGCCTTTGTAGTGGTATATAAAAACTGATGGAATTAGATTTAGATTATTTGATTTACTTTTCTAGTTGATTTTTGACAAGCTTTTTTTTTTCTCTGCACTAGTCTACACAGGTAGGAAGAGCTGTACAAACGTCTTTTTTTCAACTTAATTAATTTGAAAGAAAGGTGGCCATAGTAGAATATGAAAAGCTTTCTGTAACACACTGTGACATTTCGTGCAGCAAATAGACTTGGCCTTTATGTGGACATTATCACTAAACAGCAGTTAAGAGGCTATAGCTTTTTATGTATGGTACCATAATTCTTCACCATTTATCCACAGTAGGAAATGGCAGAAGGAGCACACCATCCTCTGTTGACGTAATTTGCTTTCTAGCATAGTGACTTCTAAAGGTAGCATGTAGACAGATGGGTGTTCTTAAAACAACTGAGCCAGCAAAAGATTTTACAGCCTATCACCCTGACTGTTTCTCTCTGCTGATGGGTATTGCCTTCCTATGAGAGTCAGATAAATCACTTATTTGACTTTTTACCTGTTTAAATCTGTTAATTCCTTTGTTAATTGTGCCAGCTAGAAGAGGACGTTTGTCTGTAACTTTATATAACTTGTACTATGCTAGTGCTGAAAATTAAATTGGTCACAGACCTATAGCGGTAGACCAGAAGCCAGCATAACTTGATGAGTATTTAGGGATACTAGCTGTGGTTCTGTCGGGTGGATTTGTGGAACCTAGTCTAGCATGTATAAGTCTAGGGCCAAAATTCAGTTCTCTGTCTTTAAACTTCCTAGAAGGAGGAAGAATAACCTAAGTTTTTAACAGGGCTGAGCTAAAATCTCAACAACCCTATAAACATGATCAGTGAAGTACTAGACTGGGCTCTGTGGGCACTATCATCAGAAAGGAAAAAATGCTTACAGTATCACTTTTCATTCAGTTGGGATCAGTATTAGAACCGTAAAATATAGCAGGTGATTTCAGACTTCTAATTAAACACCAGGGGTTGCACTCCCACTGCAAAAGGTGGAATCTAAAATTTGTGATATGAAAATTCTCAGTTATGCCTTTTTTTGCAACCCTTGTAAGTCCTTTTTGAACTAGAGAAACTATTACATTTGGAAAGCCATCTATGGAGCATCAACATTTTTCAGGTTTTTATAAAGTGATTAATCTGTATAGGATTTGTGGAATCCAAAGCAGAAACATTATTAAATAATACATGCTGAAGAATATGTGATCTCATATTTCTTCCAGAGAGGCTTGTGGTTTTGTTTTGGGATTCGTGAACTCTCATGGGTCTTCTAAAAATTAGCAGATATGAGTACTGTAATAGCTCAGTAATGTCATCTGTCTGGCATCAGGAGCCCTCTTTTGCAGTAGCTAAGTGTCTTTTGATATGTGATGTAGTCCAGTAATGTGTTGTAAAGCTCTCTGGCTTCACTGAAGAGTAAAAGACTCAGTATCAGCCATTTGTAAAGCCTTTTAATAGTGCTGAAAGAGCACATAATGACAGTGTACAGTGCTAGAACAAAACAACAAAGACTGGATAGACAAATGTTGGTAGCCGCTTAGTTTTGCAAATAATTACAGTTCATGTGGTTTTGGCTTTTACAACTTTGGAGTATAAATCCTTTTTGTTGAATTTCTATAAAGTGTTATTCGGGAAACACATTTCTGCAAGAAAACTGTCAAATGTTTTGCAAAACATTTAACAAAACAGAAAGCAAAAACACTTCTTTGAAACCTGTCATCCAATCATCTGTCAGTATATTCATTGGTTTTGAAATGCCACCAAAGCAGCCATGAATTAAAAAGGTTTGAAAGTGGATATATCCTTCTCATGTTAAAATTTGTAGTACAGTTTTGTAAGTAAATTACTGACCTAATTTAGTGACAAAATGACAGAAGAAATCAAATATTCTGCCTGGCAAAATACAATAAAAATTGAATCTGTGGATTATTCACAAAATGCTTTTATCCCTGTCTTGTTTTGCCTTCCT